CCCCAAAACCCCAAAACCCCAAAACCCCAAAACCCCTAATTTTTATAATTTTTGAATATAATAAGCATGTTCTATAGTAGCGATTCTTCCGCGGAAGGGAACAAAGAAAGGAAATATTGGAAATATATTCAGGAGCATAATAACGCTGATACTTCAAGTGAGAAGTTAGATCCTGAAATCATCTCCAGTTTTCTTAACAATAGTAATAATTACAAATCAGTTGATTTCACAAATTCGCATTCAGCAGATATGATAATCAAGGAAATCGCTAAGTCATTCCTTGCACAGAAAGAGGTTTTGCCAGACAAGTCCTTCTTCAGTCCTGAAAAGGACCAAAGTCTTCTATCTCGTAGAGAGCTTGAGATATTTGACAATAGCATTCAGATGAATTCGAGCATGAAGATTAACAGTAAGTATCAATTTTAAAATAATCTTAGTCCTAAATAAATTTATCATTATTTATGATTTACAATTTGTTTTAGAAGAGGATGGGAAAGATAACAAATCAAGCTTCTCAGCTTCAAAGATTAGCAGGAATAAGCCTACTGATTATATCGAAGATACTGACTCTAAAATAACTAAAAAACCAAGAAGTAAGTATGAAATGTTTCATAGAAGTTTTTCCTTAGATTAAGGAGATTTATAATACTTTTAGAGAGTAAAAAAGACATCCAAAATAATTTCCTCAAAGACTTAATTACGCACAAGAGGAAGAATCAGGAGGCTTCTGGGAAAGTACCTTCCTTGGATAAGCCAGACCAGAAACAAACGACGACACATCAGCTTGTTAAAAACATGTTTAATAAAACTCTGGATATTAATAATCACCTGCAGAATGATATAAGTCAGGGACTTGATACTGAAAAATACCAGGGTAATTTTCATGAACAAAATTTAGCCTCCCAAGCATGCTCAGGATGTGAGACCAAAAAGAGGAATTCCAAGCCAACACATAGTAAATCAAGGAGGTCAATGGAGTCTAGGTGATTTATAGGTGCTAACAGTAATAGATTGCTTAATGTGAACTCCTCAAAATTGAAAGTTAAAAATTTTAGCTCAAAGAAAAGTACTCAAGCAAGGAGCTATATAAAGGATGGAAAAATGCTTAGTACATATAAACACATGAATACTAAATCAACTGGGATGATACAGCCATTTAGCGAAGTTATTTATGAAGGCAATGAATCATGAGAACTCAGTAACTCAAAGAATAGTCTATACTCCTCAAATATACCTAGGTTTGGTAATAATACTACCAACCGAAAGATAGGATCGAACAAGGCAGTCACTAAGTTTAGAAATGATTATCTGAAGAAGAAAAGGAGGATGAAGACATTAAACTCCACTCATAGTTTGAAAAAGTCAGCTTCCTCTAGCAAGTCTTTTTCATCTCTGAATTCGAAGCAAGTTTATATGAGTAAAAATGTGGAGAAAGATCAGAAGAATAATTCTGGAATTGCCAGTATTGGTAATGAGAAAGGAATCAGAAAATGAGAGATTAAGCTGATTAATAAATCTGATGAGGGTGCTGTTGGGACCAATTTTAGTTCAAGAACTTCATGACTACAAAGATACAGGTCACAATCCCATTTACCATCAACTGAATGCTTTTCCAAAACTGAGAGTCAAATTCTTCATGATGAAATTCAAAACCTTGAGGTGAAGATCTCAGTACTTGAAGGAAAATTATGACAAGAGCAGAAAAATTCAATAATAAAGCAGGAGAAGATGAAGGAGGAGTTTCAAGCACAACTAAGCAAGAAGGACCAAGAGCTAAAAGTCTCAAGGGATCAAATATCACAACTCTTAAGGATCATTGAACAGATGACAAATTCTCAAAAGTTGCGGTCTGGTCAATCGAAAATTTCAGAATCTAATGAAACTCAGTGAATAAAAGTCAAAGAGAATTTTGAAGTTTCTTCAAGCGATTTAACTAATAAACAGGTAGATATTAACTCAGATGGCACTTATTACATCAAAGAAGGTAACTATGGGAATATAAAATTGAAAGAGCTTGACTGAGGAAGCTATGATAGTGATAAAATGAGTATTCCAGGACCTTCACCTACTTTAAGTAACATCTCAGAAGGAATAGCAGGCATTTACTCTTTGAATGTCAACGAAGTTCAAAGAAATATAGTTAAGACCAGCGAAAACCTCTTTGGTCATCCTCGTAACTCTATGAGTAAATAAGTAAGATGCTTCTTGTTTAATTATCACAAGGTTTGTCTATGAGGGAAATGATATGAAGAAAAAGGCACAAGAAAGAATTTCGGTGACAGCAAGACCAAGTATCGATGAAAATGTATAGCTTTTTATTAATATTCAGGAACCAGGAAATTCTATTTTAAAGAAGCTTGAAAGTCTTAGGACTCCCTCTTCCAAAATATTCAAGAAAATCTTAAAAGACGAGTCCAAACTAGAATATAAAGAGAAAATTTTTGAAGATAGTAGTGATGAATCAAAGAATCAAGCACAAGCTCTTCCAAGCAGCACTTGATTATCAACTCAGTTTATGAAGAAAAGCTCGTATCCTTTATCAAGAGAACAAAGCGTGAGTAGCGTGAGTGGATCTTTTTATCCTTATAGACGAAGCCAGTTTTTGGAAAGATTCCTCGTCAAAAGGTTATTAATCTTGATGACCTCTCTTAGAAGAAAATTTTTCATCTGTTAACTAAAAATATGTTATTCAATTTTTAAGCTGATGAATGGGGTTTTGGGGTTTTGGGGTTTTGGGGTTTTGGGG